GGAGGGGTTGGAATGGCCAGGAGAGTGGTGAGACTGAGCAAGGGTGATGAGAGCTGGGAAGCCAAGGTCTGCAAATGATGCTGGAAAACCGTAAAGGGCCATCTGCTTGGAACTCTTGCAAAGTTTTGGGCTGGAAATGTTGCACCAGCAGAGAGCAGCTGAGTCACTGAGCTGATTTGGGATCTTCCTGCCATTCCTTCATTGCCTTCTCTACCCTGGGGCAATATGGTCTTCTTTTGCTTTCTTTTTCCTTTTTTCTTTTCTTTTTTTTTTTTTTTCTCCTATGGAACTAATGCTTCTCAAAGTGAGTGCCTAAGAGCACTTACAAGAACCAGCATGCTGCTCTGAAAGCTCCCTCTCTCCCCTTCCCATGGCCCTGCAATGCTTCCTAGACATTATCTGCAGCATTCCCTGCCCATCCAGTCCTAAATTGTGAGCATCCTGCTGGTCTTACTGTGGTGTAATTATTGTGATGTACAAATTGCCCCTGTACTGTCCATACCTCAAGCCAGGGCCAGCTGGATGGCACCCACCTGTGATTTGATCTCCCTGTGAGATACCTTGTCCTGTTCCAAAGACCATTTACTCTGCATTGTTGCTGATCCTGCAGTAGCAGGGCAGAGATTTCCCTCTTGGAGCCCTGGCCTGATCTTGCTCCTATCCTGAAAATCCCTCATCAAAGCAGTTCCAGATCCCTGTCACCATCCTGGCCAGACCCTTTAGACCTGCTCTGCCCTTTCAGTCCCAGGCCATCTCCGTGCTCAGCCCATGAGAAGTGGGCTCTGTGCTCCCTCCATGTCCCACCCTGACGCTGTCCCACCTCTCTCCAACGTGCTGCTCCAGGGATTAGGGACTGTGGCTGAGACATGAGAGGGGTCTGTCCAGGGCTGCCCAGGATGGAAGGTTTATCACCTGTTCCCCAAGGGCTGATGTACCTGGAGACCCTCCAACACCAGCCCCTCCACTTCACTCACCCCCGGGCTGCCTCCACCGTGCCAGGATGGCTTTCCAGAGGAGTTGCTCCCAGATTTTTCCATCAGCCCTGCACGGCTCCAGCTTTCCCCCTCTGTGTCCCCCCTGTTCAGCCCAGCTCCCCAGGTGAGCACAGAGCACTCTCTGCCACGGCACTACCCCTGAGAGCCGACCTGCTCGTGGGCCTAATGGGTTTCCAGGGGGGTGGGGGAGAGGGAGGAGAGCGAGTGGCTGATGCTTCTCAGCCACTCAGCTCGGCCCAGAGCTAACGAGGCATCTCAAAATTAAAAAGTGAACTGCAATCCCCAGCAGGCCTGTCCTCCTTTTGGCATTAGTCGGAGTTCTCTTTCTCTCTCTCAAAAAAAAAAGAGGACTGGGGAGCAGGGAGATGCGTTTGGAGCCGTGGAAGCACCACATCCTTGGAAGGGTGGGGGTGCTGGGACGAGGCAGACAGCCTTGGGGCTGCTGTGCCATGGGAGCACTGGCTCTTTCAGACAGGCTGTGAGATGCCAGCTCACCCTTGAGGTGCAGGGAGTGCAAATGGTACATGGGAACAGGCTCTTCCTGTGCCTTCACATCCAGAGATCCCTCCTGCTCTACACGGTTGTGTAGAGGACACACCCCAGGATGTGGAGGTGGCACCCTGCCCACAGGGACAGTGCAGGGTGATTGCCACTGGGCACTGATGTGGGAGGAGGATGACAAGAAGGAAACAACGCTGCTGGAGGAGGAAAACATGGGAAAAGCAAGCAGGGAAAGAGTGGAGAAGTGAGGAAGAGAGGGCTGCCTGGTTTATTGCTTCTGTGGATGGCATTTCTCCAGTGGGAATCCGTCTGGGAAGGACTGTTCTGTGCCCACAACTCTGGGGTGCCCAGCACTGGCTGCTCTGACCTTCCTGCCCCCAGTGGCCTCATCCTTGAGCCTCAGAGGGCTGAAGGCTCTGCCTTGTGGAGGTGCTCTCTGGAGCAGCTTAGCCTGGCTCACAGGCAGCTCAGTGGCAGCTGCTTTGCCCCACTCCACTCCTGCAGGCAGCTGCCTGTCCAGTCCCCTGTCACTGCTGGGCCAGCCCTGAGACAGCTCTGTGACATCCTCCAGGGCACATGGCTCCAAGCAGGACCTGCCACCCCTCTGAGATGCTGTCTTGGCCATTCACAGCTCACCTTGATGGGTTTTCCCAGGAGAGGAACACAAGTGGGTGGCTTGTACCCATTTTGCCCAGCTGGAAGGCAGAGGAGGGGTGGCAGGACAGTCCAGGTGGAGCACAAGGTGAGCTACAGGGCAGTGTCCTGGAGAACAGCCCAGTCCTCACTGTGGAACTGGAGTTCAGCCCTGAGAGGTACCAGGGCTACATAAACACACAGGTTCCAGGGCTTTACCCTGGATTAAAGAGTGTGCCTTTCCCATGGAATCATAGAATATCCTGAGTTGGAAGGGACCCACAAGGATCATTGAGACCAACTCCTGGTCCCACACAGGACAACCCAAGAATCCCACCATGTGCCTGAGAGTGTTGTCCAAATGCTCCTGGAGCTCTGGCAGCCTTGGGGCTGTGCCCAAACCCTGGGGAGCCTGTTCAGTGCCAACCACCTTCTGGGGGAAAAACCTTTCCTTAATATCCACCCCAAACCCACCCTGACTCCAAATCATGCTGTTCCTTTAGGTGCTATCGCTGTTCCAGCTGCACACAACGTACTGGGGGGAATTTCACCCTGTCCACAGTAGGACCATGGATGAACTGGAAGCCACACAGAGTCAGACACATCCTGACACGATCCCACCGGATTTCTCCTGGCAGTGGGTTTGGTGCAAAATCTCAGGGAACTGCTGAGCCCTGGGGACAGCAGTGGTACCAGGAAACATGCACCCCTTTCCCCTGGGCTTGTAGTGCCAATGATCTTCCAGGTTCATTTCTCAGCCCAGATATAAACACTGCAGGGGCAATTTTGCCCAGATAAGCTTGTCCTGAGGGGGAGCAGACATGCTGACAGCTTGGGCATTCCTGCACACCGAGCACCAAAGGCACAGTCACTGGTGCTCCCCACAAGGACTCTGCACTCATGAGCAAAGGGAAGGACAAGAAAGGGTGAAGGGCAGCAGCAAGGTGATGACAGGAAAGAGGGTTATCGTCGTATTTCTATTTCTTCGCTCGAGCAAGGGGAAATGCAATTTGTACCTCGGGAATTCAGGGTAAAATCAAATAAAACACGGTGGTTGCCCAAGCCCATCCATTCTGTAGTGCAGAAGGACGCAGTGGCTGCCGAGCCCAGGCTGAGCATCACCCGGATCCGGCAGGGTCAGCAGAGCCACCGCAGCCCTGCCCGGGCTGAAGGAGGGGCTGGTCCGTGTCCTGGGGGGCAGCTGGATGCCCTGGGGACCTGGCATCAGGGCAGACAGGATCTGAAACGGGCCTGGGCTGCTGGACCTCCAGCCCCACGGCTGCCCCTGCTCCCCCTCTGCCCTGTGCCTCTGCGGAGCCGGATCACCTACTGTTTTACTGTATCATAATCATCTCCGCGCCTTACAAAGATGGTTTTCTTCCAGTTTTATGTCATCTCCGCAGTTCTCCCCCTCATAAAATGTGACTGCACCAATTTCTGTGATCAGGGCCGGTCAGGTAACAGGGACACACTTCATGTTTCCCAGGCAGAGCTTTTAAATCAAATCCGTCCATACCCCATGCTCAAAGGAGAGAGGGGAGCGGGGGAACTCCTGTTTCCTTGCAGAATGCTGCAAGCCCCTCCAAAGTGACTCCCCACTGCACTGAGGTGACCTCCCAGATGCTTCTGAGCACTCTGGAGGGATGAGCATCATCCCCACCCCACAGCCCTCCCTGAGGCCAGGGTCCAGCAGCACCCAGTGGTGCCACCTGAAAGCCCCTGTCCCACCCCAGGACAGAACAAGGAGGCAAGGGCGGTGGGGATGGTGGATGTGGGGGTAAAGGGGTGGTGAATGAGTGGGGGAAGGTTTGGGTGAGGGGCAGGGACACCAGAGGTTTCAGGGTGAGATGGGTTCTCTCATGCAGTCATGGGAAACTGCAGTACACTGGGGTGACTTCAAAACCTGATGAAATCAGGGAGGATACTCCTCGGCTCCCATCCTCAAGGATCAGGCCTTTTGGGATAACACTCTTCCCTTGAATCACCATGTAATTGGCCCTGGCCTCCCTTCCCCTGGAGAACACAATCATGAATCTGTTTCCCATCAGTCATCTGGAGAGGGACATCTCGATCTGTACCTGTCCTCCTGCGGGCTGAACATCCCCCACCCCACACAGCTCCTCGTGAGGAGGAAATAACATGGCCAAGAAAAGACATAAAACAGCCAATCTTGGCAGGCTGAAGTCCTCCAAATCCCCCTCCCTGTGCAGTCAGCTGTGCTTCTCCACTGCCTGCTCCTCTCCAAGAAATGAACCTCAACTGGCTCTCAGCTGTGCCCAGGAGCACAACGGTACCCAAGGATTTTCCATGTTTCATCTCTACCAGGCACCTGCCATTGTCCTTTTCGATCATAGGACACAAGAGAGGAACTGCAGATCCTTGCACCTTCTACTGAATAGCCACCAGCTCCCCAGGGAATATTTTATCCCATATTGTTGCCGAGGAGGCAGCCTCACAGACCATGCATCAGCCCTGCCAGCAACCACCCCAACCCTCCACAGAGAAAAGAGCCAAAATATCTGGCATGGGGAACAGAAGTGGAGGAGGGATGACTTGTCTGTGATGGAGGAAAGCTTGGAGCAGAGGAAAAGCTGGGTGTATCTGTCCCAGCAAAAGAACCCCAGAAGGATCACACCACGGACAACCCACCTGTCTGCAGAAATGGTGACGGTGGAGGGAGAAGGGCCAGTGAGAGGAGAAGGGAAACCAGGAGGTGAGAAAGAAATGTGAGGGAGAAGGGAAGAAGGACGTGAGGGCAAGCAAACAGGAGAGGGTTGGAGCATTTCACGAGGTTGGTGTGTGCAGCCAGGCTGGCAGCACCGGCACACCACAGCCCCCGTGCTCTGCCCCCGGCAAGCAGCGTCACCATACCTCCAAAGTCAGGCCTGAGGCGGACATCATAGCCCTTCAGCAGTTTGTCCACAATCTCTTTCACCACAGAAATATTTCCAGTGGATGGGCTGAAAGACAAGAGAAGAGAGTTTCTGTCATCCCGTGTGCCACTGGCCGCTTGGGCAGGGGTCCTGGCCAGGCAGCAGCGCCGCAGCATCCTTCACACCCCGGGGCACCACAACCCCCCTGTGTGCTACAGACACCCCAGCCATGGGCACAGCCTCCCTGTTTTCTTTCTCACTTGTGTTTTCTGTCCTTGGCACAGCTCTCAGCCCCCAGCCTGCACACAAGCCCTGGCCGTGCTGGGTTCTTGCTCCTGGTCTCACACTGCACAGCACGGACTTGTCTTGCCCTGAGGTCCTCACTACACAAGGTCCCCACTGCACAAGTGCCCCCCAGCAGGCCCCCTGTGCCATCACACCCCCCAGGGCAACCTCTGCTTCTCACTGCATGCACGTGTTTCTTCATATTATTGAAGTAAAGGAGAAAACAACACTCCTTTTTTTCATACAGCCTCAACATAGGGCTGATCTTTCTGTCACTCAGCATCACCGTGACTTCTTAGCAACGCAGATCAAGAGGCAGAGACAGGGAGGGAGAGTCCATCTTTCCCTCTGTGTGCCAGAGCAGCAATCCTTTCCCTCCCAACCCTTCAAATTGCACACAGGGGGGGCAGCCGTCCTCCCTTACACCAATCCAGCCATTACAGCAGGAAGGGAGCTCTCTCTAAACCAGCCCAAGAGCCAAACTGAAACTGAAGGTGGCAAACCAGAAAGCAGGGGATGCTAAAAATATTGAACCTATTCAGTGCTGCGGGGTAAATAGGTTTTCTGCCTGAATACCCAGCCTCTGTGCCACCCTCATCTCCTGCTTTGCATGAGAATAGAGACCCTGCCGGTGACAACCGCTGCTCTTTGCAGTCACCCACCACAACAGCATGTCTCCCTGTCAACACCGCCTCCCACAGCCATCCCAGTCAAGCTGGAAAGCTGCACCATAAGCACTGCCTCTGCCAGCCAGCCCCGTGCCTCGCTGGGCACTGGGGTTTGGCTTGACATGTCCGTGTGTCTGCACACACACAGGCAGACAGACAGGCAGACAGGCGACGTGCTGTCCCCGCTGCATGGGGGATGTACAGACCCCCTGCCTGTGCACATGGACATGCAGGCACATGGAAGCACTGGAGCTCAAGGGTGCAGTTGAGGAAAGTGCACAGACCTGTGTGTGTGACCACATCCCAGTCAGGGACTGGAGGTGACTGGAGGTGACTGGAGGTGACAGTGTGTGCAGCCCTTGCTCCACTGGGACATGATGAGACACTGGGCTGTGCACACAATTTATGCAGAAGCACAGAAGTGGGCATTCGTGGGTGCCTGAGCCTGGGTTCCCAGGGGCCCAGGCTCTCCACAGAGGTGTGGGTGGAGGCATGTAGGATCACTGGGGCGTCAGTCTGGCAGTGTGTGTGTGCAGGGATTTCTCAACCGGACAGGGATGTGCAAATGTAGACAGCACACACTTCCCAGGCCCAGCTCTGCTGCATGGACAGACCACTGAGCACTTGTGCTGTGTCTGAGCTCTGTTTCTGAGCATGCACCTGAGCGTGGTACAGCTCTTCATGGCATTGTTTTAACCGCTGTGAAAAGGCCAGGGAGGTGCACACAGGTGGGCATCTTCACAACACCGTGTCTGGGCTTGTGAGGTCCACTTGCACCTGTGGATTTCCCTGCAGTATGTGAGGATTTGCAGCATGCTTATGTACTGTCACTGTGTGTTACTGACAGTGTGCACCAGCATTTGTTCCTCTCTCGAAGCCATTCCTACAGGTACATAGATTTCCATATTCATAGATTTCCATATTCATAATGTGGACACTATGTGTTTCTCAAGGGATTTAGACACTTCTGTTTAGTTTCCTACAAGGTATAAACTGAGGAAGCAGTGTTACCCCTTTAATACAGGCAGGGAAATTGAGGCAGAGACAGTAACCAGTGTGCCAGGGGCCCTGCAGAGTGGAAAGAGGGATATGACAGAGGTCTTTCCTCCTCGGCAACTACAAGCTGGCCTAGTGAGGGAATAAACTGGCATCATGGTTAAAGGCAAGGTCTTTTTCCTCTCAGTGCTCCTTTTGAAAAGCCCCGTTCCTCCTGCTGAACAGGCAAGTCGTGCGTTTGCCCAGCTGTGGGCGAGCAGCTGCATGCCAGAGCTATTCCTGGCAAATGTGGGTCTGCATCCGCTCGGGGAGCGCGCACATCCAGCCCGTGAACTGAATTCTGGAGTGCCGTGTCCCTGATTCCGTGTGGGTGGGCATGTGCTTCGCACAGATACCCGTACACTCGCAGCCCAGCATCTACATACATGCGCCCCGTGCTGCTGGCTGGGTGTGTGGGAGCAGCTGAAGGCATGTGCACACGGGAGAGTGTTTTGTGCCCGGGCCGTGCACGGCCAGACAGGCAGACTGTAGGTGACTCTCAGGTGATGAGCAGGTCTGAACACACACATGCAAAGGCAGGGGGTTTGCTGTGGGCATCACTCCGCACACATTTCCTGCCTGTGCATCCCCACACACAGTTGGGACCACGCATCATGAATGGTGTGGGCAAGGTGGGCGCTGCTCTGCGCATGTGCGTGTTTATAACTATGGGAACACAAATCTGGGCACCCACAGCCCTGCGAAGGCTGTGCAGGGACCTGCATGTGCGCCTTGGGGACGCGCTGCTCCGGGTGCAGGGCTGGGCGAGGAAATGCCACGGTAACCTGCCCATCCCCAGCTCCTCAGCAGCCTCGCTGCACGCCCGGCGTCAGCACCGAGGTACAAACCCACCTGCCCGCCCGTGCGAGGAGGGAGGGCGAGGAGGAGGAGGCAGCGCTACTCCTGTGTGCGTGTGAAAGCAGTGGATAAGCACCGTGTGGGAGCAAACAGGTGCGCTCCGTGTCCAGGCTGGCCGTGTGCCTGCCCCTCTGGCTGCCTGCACCACTCGCGGTGCTCGGGGCGCTCGGCAGGGACAGCCGCAGCTGGAGCGCGCAGGGCGCTCGGTGCCAGCGTTTTAGGGTGCCATGCAGAGCAGGGAGAGCGTGGCCGTGCCCTGTGCAGTGACACACACACGGATGAACGCGCACACGCGGGGATGGGTGGGCAGGGATGGCATGCCGTAAATCCGCGGCCGTGGGCATCGCCTGCGGAGCACCGCAGAGCCGGGGCCGTGGCACGGCCCGGCACGGCCGTGAGTGGGGCTGCGTGTGCGCTGCGTGTGTGCGGGCACAGGCACGGCAGAGCCAGCCCCGTGCCCGGCGCTGCCGCCGCTCCCACGGACACCATGTTCCCAGGAAAACGCTTCGCTTTGGCCATTTCCCCCCGGGCTGAGTCCGGGGGAAGGGGGGAACGCGCACACACACACACACACACTCACACACACACACACACACACACACACACACACACACGCACACACAGGAGCGCGCTGCAAGTGGGCTGCGAGGTGGGCTCGGTCTGCAGAGTGTGCTCCGCATCTCATGGATGAGCATCCCTCCTCCTCCCCCGAAAACGACATGGACCGGCAAATAACAATAGCGGGCAGCAGGGGAAGCAATCTGGGGAAAGAACGAACCCCTTCCCCTTTCGCACATACAGAAAACCCCGAACAGCACAAACAAATCCTGTGTCAGCCCCCCTGTCCCCGCAGCCTGGGATCGCAATCCTTACCTTTGCGCACAGCAGGCGAGACAAAGAGCTGCTAAAGCAGAGACAATTCCACTCAATCTGTCTGCCTGAAATGTCCACATTTCCACAAAGACGAAGGATGAAAAAAAAAATCTTTGGAGGGGAGGGGAAAGAAAGATGGATCTTCTGAAATCCCCCTCCAAAAAAAGGGGGGGAGGGAAAAAAGAAACCAACCCCCCCCCCAGTTAATGATTTCCTAGAGAAAAAGAATAATGGAAAAAAAATAAAAATGTGGGGGAAAAATATCCCCCCCCTCCTTCAGTGCCAGTCAAAGAATTCGTTTCTTCTTCCTTTCAGCATCCTCTCAACAAGAGACATCCTCTGGCAATGGAGAAAATCCCAAGAGAAAGCAAAATAAAATGCCCCAAAATGGGCTCAGCAAAACGTGGAATCGAATCTCACAGGTACGCAGAAGAAAAAGAAGAAGAAAAAAAAAAAAAAAAAAAAAAGAGGAAAAAAAAAAAAAGAAAAAAAACCCCCCACAACTCAGTGTCCCCTGAGCACTCCACTTGGATTATTTTTCCTCCTGCTCTTTTGCCATCCGGTTCTGCAGATGTTGCATGGCTCCTGCTACCCACCTTCAGAGAGGAGGAGGAGGAGAAAGAGCGTGTGTGTGTGTGTGTGTGTGCGTGTGCGAGGGAGGACGTGTGAGTTTTCTGGCGAGATGGTTTGATTCTGGATTTTACCTATTTGCTCCCCCTTCCTCTTTTATTTTCCGAGGGGGAAGGGGAAGCGACCCAGCCCCACCATGCCGTGATTTTATTTTAGGGGAACCTCAGGCTCGTCACTTGAGAGGTTTGGGGCTTTTGTGAAAGGGTTAAAAAGGAAAAAAAAAAAAGGGAAAGCAAATGCAACCCAGCAAATAAATAAATGCATATATGCATGTGTAGAAAATAAATAAATCCCTGTCTGTGGAAAGTGCTGCTCTCCGAGGGAGGGCTGGATGTCTCCCTAGTGCTGTTGCCGCAGCTCCTGTGGAGTTTTGCTGCTCATTGCAAAGTCACAAGAGGAGGGGAGGAGAGAGAGAGAGTTTGTGGTTGGGGAGGGGGACTCTCCGGACAAATTGGGATCCTGACGTCATGGCTGACAACATTAACCCCTGCTGGCTTGCAGAGGGGATGGATGAGGGTTTTGGGTTGCTCTTTGGTGTTTTGCTCTTATTTTTTTCCCCCTGGGGAGGTGGGAGCAGGGAAGATGGTGGGAGAGGTGACGGCATTTTGGCAAGCAGGGGGATGCACCTGGACAAGAGTGGCTGGGCTGTAAGTGCTGGTGGGTGCTGTGGTTGCCTGAAACAGTGTGATCAGCAAAGGTTGAGCTCCCTCCTTCAGCCACAGAGATGAGAAATAAGGGGATTTACTGAGACTGTCTCCATGCCATGGGGCAGAATGGCCTGGGGCCTCCTCCTGGGGAAGATCTGAAGACTGTGGTGGGGCAGAAGACTTCCCCAGGCCAGGGAAGCCCAGTTCAGCAGGGATGCTCAGCTCTCCCTGAAGGGTGCTGTGTTATGCATACAATAGAGTTTGTGGGAAACAGGAGCTTGAACTTCCAGAGATGCTGTTGAGGATCAGCTCCTGGTGCTGTGTCTTTGACTGCTGAAATGGAAACAGCCACTGAGGTTGTCACAGTGTCCTGTGCATCAGCTTCTGATCTGTGCTTTAGAAAAGTCATATAATTACAGAACCCTGCATGGGGCATTGCAGGAAAATGTTACTATGAAGGATTTTTTCCTAGGAAAAAGAGATCCAGCAGCACTTTGAATGCAGAGCATAAGCCATGGCTCAAAGAGGAACCACCTGAGCTCTCAGGACTGTCCTGGATGCCATTTCCTCTGTACCTGCCCAGCAGCTCAGAGCAGACCCTCTAAGCAGGTAAGTCTCCCCTTCCCAGGTTACACCTGGAGTGTGGATGGTGTCCAAAGCCCTCTGGGCTAAGAGGGCAGAGCAGATGTGTCACTGCAGCTCAACAGGACAAGGTCCAAAATGCCCCTGAAGAGGCAACTGGGTAGCACCTCTGTCCTGCCTTTCCCCATGGGTAGATGGGCCCCAGCCCCAGCTGGAAAAATCCTTGGCTCTGGGGTTCCTAATGCTCCTTTTCCTCACGCTTGGCTTGGCTCTCCACGCTTTCCTCATCAGAGTCACGCCACAGATCACACACTCCCAATCTCCTTCTCCCAAAAAGAGGAGCACAGAGCGACCCTTTTAAAGAGCTTCCCCTTTGCAGGCCAGACTGAAGTGTTGCAATGCAGGGACACCAAACCAAGGAAGAGCTGGGCTGTGTGGTGTTCTGTCCTGGTGTCACTGCAGGGAGGTCCTGGGGGCAGCGAACACGTGGGGTTTGTGGGGAAAAGGAAGGCTCAGGGAAGGTTTTGCATCTACAGTGATGCTGTGCTAGAACAGGAGGGGAAAAGACCTTCTCACCTGCTGCTGAGGCTGGGGAAAAATATTCTCTGCTTGGTTTAGAGCCTGGACCACCCCTGCTCCTCCAGACTTCTGTGACTAAAGCCCCAGAGTGATCTCCAGTGTTTTCTCAAAGACCAAAGCAGGTCAGTGGCACTTGTCACATGCCATGGAATGTGTCTGCCCATGTGGAGCCAGGATGCAGCACACTACTGAGAAGTTTGCACTGCAGACCACTCCCTGTGGCCTCCCAGGCTGCAGTTAGAGGCAGAGACTCCAGCAGGACATCCAGCTGTGGCTGGTGACATTTCACTGCATGGTAGCCCAGAGCAAGTGCTGCCTGTCTGTCTGGGCTGTCCGTGCTGGCTGAGCTGTGTCCTAAGGACGTTCCTTGGCTTCCAGCAGGCCCCGTGTCACAGGCGAGGCGTGCTTTGTCAACCCCCCAGAACCTCACGGCTCCCTCATTCCTGTGGTTCCCTGATTCCCGTGACTGAAAGAGCCTAAAGAGCTCCCCTTTGCCCAAAGAGCTGTGGGAAGATGGGCCAAAACAGTAGGGTTCCCCCTGAGCCTGGGATGAGCTGCTGGTGCCTCTCAGGTGCCTTGCTGTTGTCCAGGTACAGTATTCACCTCCTCTCCTGACAGCAGCGAGTTCCTGAAGCGTTTATTCTGAATTAAGCTGCTGGGTACCAGGGAGGAGCTCTTGGAGAGATGAGAAGCAGCATTTGCCTCTGGGCACCAGCAGCCCCATTTAGCCCCTCGTGGTCCCTTCCTTTTCGGGCCCCTCAGCGCTGCTCTCTCCCACCAGCTGTGACCGCACGTTACTGGCAGGAAAGGTAAGTGGGAAGCAAATGTCAGAGGCATACATGAAGAGGAAAAATTATGCTCACAAATGGTGACATTTGTGCTTGCAAGTTCACCCAGTGGGGAGCAGGGCCCGTGTCACATGAATTATCTGACCACTCAGCCACAACGGGACGCTTTGGAAAGCCGAGGGCTTGGCGGTAAATGCATTCAAAGGAGCTGCTGTGTGCTCCTGAATAATCTACCTGAAGCCATGTTCTTGAATAAAGGGCTGCTTTGGAATTAGTCACCCTTCTCTGCTGAGTCTCATTAAGGCTGATGCACGCTGACACGTGGTGATGCTCGCTGAGGTGTCTTGCCCTGCGGAAGGTGGGCATCCTTGAGCCCCTCCCACAATCCCAAATGCTCTGTCTCCTGCTCCTGCCAGGGGCTGTCTGATCTCCAGTGAGAGCCCGACAGTGACAGCTGGGACTCTTGTTTTGGCAACTCTGTGCCCTCTAATTCACTAATCCCTCCTAATGTATTAGCCCAGGACCCGCCCTGCTTGGACACTCCATGTGCTAACATTGTGTATTCCTGAGGAAATACCTCAAAGACAGTGTATCCACAGGGTTTCACATCTTTGTTCCTTCATCACTTTGCAAGGCAGTGCAGACTTGTCCAGAGTAAGTGGAAATGTTGACCATTCTTAGGCACTGTGAATGGAGGAACTGGTGAGCAGAGCTTTGCATGCAGCCCTGTGTCTTCTCTGTGCTCAAATCTTTTTAACTAGAGGATGGAAAGCGTGGAGGGAAGGGAGAAAGGACTGTCCATGGAGGTGGAATCACGCACCAGCTCCCATTCCAACCTGTATTTCAGCTTAGAAGGCTGCAGACAGTATTTAGTTTGGGCTTTCCTTCACCTGAGAAATGGTCTGAGTGAAGGTCCTTTGGTTCTGGGAGTGCAGAAGTGCTGTGATAGCTGTGGCTGTTGAGGTTCAGCTCCCACGTGTGCAGTGAGAGAACATCCTGCATGTGCCAGTCTCCCAGCACCACAGCCAGGTCCTGCCATGCACAGACAGCCTGCAGGGCCATGGTGACACCACGTGTTGAGCCTGGGCAGCTCCTCCTGCCTGGCCCTGCTCACTCGGGGCTGTAAACACAAACTCCTGGTCTGTGGCAAAGGCCTGCTCAGGTCGGAGTTTGGCATGTAAAAATGCCCCCAGTTCATTTTCTCTGTACATTTCCAGGATGGTGCTCAGGAGAACCACTGATGCCCTTTGGGACTGGCATTTCTGATCATATTATGACTGGCAGTATGAAGGGCACAAGGCAAGAAAAAGGCCCTTCAGCCCCTGCAGACAGTTGAGAAGTGCCAAAAAATGCCTCCCCTGCTCATTATTGTTAATGATGGAGATCTGTTCTGACACAGAGTGTGTCTGTTGGGTCCATGTCTCCCATGAGGCACTCCCCTTTCAGAGGGTGTAGCACCTCTCATTCCTAGGGATGCTCCTTCCCATTTATGCCAGCAGAGAAGTCCCCTTCTGAGTTGAAGATCCTGGTTTGGGTCATGGATCTCCAACCAAAAGTGCTGGAAGCAGCAGTGGAGTGGATTACAAGGATCTGGGTAAAAAAATTCCACCTCTGACCACCACATGGAGGCGTGGATGGTTTCAGCTCCTCTTTGTCCCTCTGTCCCTGCAGGTCTCCTGCTCTGAAAAGGGCCAGGGGTCAGCACCATCACCCAGGAGGCAGAAGGAGCTGAGAAAGCCAGTTGCTGGTCCCTCCTGGGCACAGGGACAGTGTGTTCCCAGAGCAGGTGCCACCCCTACCTCCCCCAAATCCCTGCAGCACCCACCACCTGCACTGAGGGGACACAGCAAGGGTGACAAGAGATGGTTCCTAGGGACACCTGCACTCCATTCCTCTATGGCCTTGTCTCCTTGGCCTCAGGGAGGTCAAGTCCAGCTCTCCTACATCACAGGCATGCAGGAGAGAGCAAGCTCTCATCTGTATTTTATCCCGTGACAAAGCCCGTGGTGTGAACTCTGCAGACAATGTCCTGGTGGTTGGAGTGCCACCCTCTCCTCACCTACCCAGCTAGTCATTCCATCCCTGAGGGCTATCAGATAGGTCAAGCATGAGTTCCCCTTGCTGAACCCACGTTGATTACTCCTGATAACCTTTTCCTCCACATGCTTAGAGATGACATCCAGGATGAGCTGTTCCGTCACCTTTCCAGGGATGGAGCTGAGACTCACTGGCCTGTAGTTCTCTGGGTCCTCCTTCATGCCCTTTCTGCAGACTGGAGTGACCCTGGCTTTCCTCCAGTCCTCAAGCTCCTCTCCTGTAACTGTGATGAGATGGGGCCTCAGGGACCACTCAGAGATCTCTCATTCTTCTTGTTTGTTCCCCATGATGGGTGTGTTGTACAGGCATTTCCGAGAGCTAATCAAGCGTGAAGGTTTCCAGCAAGGGATGCAAAAGGATCCACCAACCTGCCACCCCTCGTTTTCCCAGTGTCACACCACGCCAGGAAGCTGCTCAGTGGCTTCCCTGGAGCAGATCAGGACCCCTCAGCCATGTGCTGGATTGAGAGTAGTGCAACTGCCCTATTCCCAGCTGGGAGGTTTCTTCCCAAGTCTGGCCTCTCAGTTTTGACTTGACACCCAAGCCAGGCAGCAGGCTTGTTTCTGTGATGGAGTGAGTCCAGTTTTTAGTGTGGAAATGCAGGAGGACACACCTGAAATGTGCTTC